TCTATAATTTTTTGTTGAATAAATACTCTTTATGAAACACGAAACACTTGGACTTTTGTCTGTCTGTAGGAAAGAAACATCGTGTTCATATCCCATTAAATGAATCAAAAAGTGCAGAAGTGAACGATTATCCGTAACTAATCTCAATGGGTCACATCTATTTCTTACAAACTTATTTCACTTTTGTAGACCGGAGACACCACGCGGTTCAGCTGAACTTATTCATGAAGGGCGAGCAATACCTCTCAGCGCTAAACAATTAAATGATGCTCCAATAATCGGTGAACGAAGCTTCGGCACAGTACATGATATTGATCTCAGAGACTCGTCGAATCTTCACATAGTAGCTAAGGTATGTCAATAGCATATCAACTTTAATATTGAGAGAAAATATGTCATCACAAATGTTTATTGTTCTAGCATATCAAGTGCTTCAAAGATGAAAATGGAGTCTTATCAGCAGTAACAGAAATGAAAACAATGGAAAAACTTCACCCCTGCAAATCGCCAAATATTGTTCCCTCGACTGTAGAGAGGGTCATATGAAATAAAATAGTTTGTCTGTCTGTTTGTGTCAGGGTCAAAGGTCAAAGGTCAAAAAAACATTTTTGAGGGTGTGGGTGTTGAGTGAAACCATGGGTGGGTATATGATCGTGGGTGGGGATGTTGGGTGAAACCATGGGTGGGTATATGATCGTGGGGAGTGTGTTGGGGTAGTCATTGTTAGGTTCGGAGGTGTGGATAGAGGTCGTTGACGATTCGATTAATATGTCTGTGGATGTGGCTGGGTGGAATCACGAACCGGCGGCTCTCTCCCTTACAGTGTGGATTTTGGTTTGGTTTGGCGTTCGGTTCGTGTTGATTTTTTTGCATTGAAAGATGGAGCTGATGTGGTCTTCAAATGGCGAGGAGGTTTGCTGTAATGATGTCTGAGTGGCTGTGATGTTCCAGCTTTTATTCTACTGTACCTAATTTCAGGAGTATTTATAGAGCTACATGGAAGCGTGTGTATTACCGCAGCTGAATGAGGTGAAAGCGAAAAATAGAGAGTGTGAAAGAGAAGTCAGTTAAATTGATTTGTGTCGAATGTAGTCCGGATCCCTTGAGGGAAACCTATCGAACCTATGAGAATTGTGGAAAGACGAAGAAATAGAACGTCTGCAAGTAATTGATGATCATTATTGGTGTCTGAA